CCCCCCCCCCAGGATCATCCCAACAGCACCATTCCCCCAGCATCACCCCACAAGCATCATCCCACCAGGATTATCCCACCACTACCACCCCTTTCCCATGTGCCACATCTTGGCCCCAAATAGCCCCTCCCACCCCCATCACCACCTCCCCCAAATGACCTCCTCCCCATCCCACCCCAACTTTGGGGCCTGTTTGGGTGAGACTCAAGCACATGGCTTTCCATTGGCTTTTCCCCATGGGAATTAGGGATAGTTGGGATAACCTGAGCCATCCCCACAAGCCCTGGAGGAGGAGGAGCACCCAATTTCCTCCCACCCTGATTTTTCTCCCTGGATTTTCACAAGGCAAGGATGGAGCAGGGGATGCTGGTGACAACATTTCAAGGCTATTCCCATTTTTCCAGCATTCCTGGCCTTGTAGAAACATCAGGTCCTGCCGAAACGGACCAGGATTGGCCCCCTCCCCAGTCATCCCACCTACCCGTCTCCCTTGGCAATGGGAAGAGGACGTCGAAGCCGTCGGGCAGCTCGATGGCGGTGAGGAAGCGGACGTGGCCGGTGTGACCCTGGGAGAGCCCCACCAACGCCGGGGCCGCCTTGGCCGAGAGGGCGAGGGTCAGCACCACGCCGGCGCTGGTCCCGATCCACAGCAGGTCCTTGCACACCAGGAGAGCCGTGATCCGCAGGCAGGCTGCCTTGTGCTGCCGGATGATGGCATCCGAGCCTGTCGAGCATCCCAACCGTCAGCGTCCCTCCCTGCCTGCCATGGGGCTGTGAACCCCACCCATGCCTCCGGTCTCCGTTCTCAGGGGTATCTGGGGGATGTGGGACACGGGAAAGGGATCCCACAACCCCCCTGGCTTGTATAAACCACCCTTGGGTGCTGCCAGATTGGGCTGCCTCATTTCCCCATGGGATTATGCAGTTCCCCAGGGGCTGCCTTGTTCCCACATGGGATTATGAAGACATTCAGGGGTTTCCCTGTTACCCCATGGGATTATGCAAATGCCATGGGGTTTCCCTGTGGGATGATACAGCAACCCAGGGGCTTCCTTATTTTTTTTCTGGGATTATGAAGCCACCCAGGGCTGTCCTGTTACCCCGTAGGATTATGCAGTTGCCCAGAGACCGACTGATTCCGGTGTGGGATTATGAAGCCACCCAGGGTTTGCTTTATTTTCCCATGGGATTACGCAGATACTAAAGAACTGCCCTATTCCTGCATGGGATTATGCTACCACCCAGGAGCTGCCCCATTTCCACATGGGATTACGTAGCTGCCCAGGGAATGCCCTATTCCTGCGTGGGATTATGAAGCCATCCAGGGAATGCCCTATTTCCACATGGGATCGTGCAGCTGCCCAGGGAATGCCCTATTCCTGTTTGGGATTATGAAGCCATCCAGGGAATGCCCTATTTCCACATGGGATCGTGCAGCTGCCCAGGGAATGCCCTATTCCTGCGTGGGATTATGAAGCCATCCAGGGAATGCCTTATTTCCACATGGGATCATGCAGTTGACCAGGGAATGCCCTATTCCTGCTTGGGATCATGAAGCCATCCCGGGAATGCCTTATTTCCACATGGGATCATGCAGCTGCCCAGGGAATACCCTATTCCTGTGTGGAATTACGAAGCCATCCAGGGGATTCCCTATTACCCTGTGCAATTATGATGATGCCCAGGGGATGCTCTGTTTCTGCACGGGATTATCCATCTGCCCAGGGATTTCCCATGGGATTATGCAGCTGCATAACACTGAGGATGACACCCATGAGCGTGACCGGTCAGGTCTCATTCCCCAGAGAGGGCCGGGATGCAGGAGGTATTAAATTTCCCAGCGCTGGATGCTGCAGGGCATGGCATTTTCAAGGCAGGGGATGGGCACGGGTACCCCCTGGAGACAGTGGCGGGCACCCACCGGGGACCTGCCACCGGTGGGACTTACCGGCGAGCATCTTGTGTACCGGGGGGGTGATATCCGCTTCGGCCAACTGCTCGTAAGTGGTGGCGTGGTAAAGCCGGACCTGGGCACTGCTCTGCAAGGCGACCCACACGCCAGTTCCTGCGCTCACCATGCAGGTGACACTGCGCCCACTGTCCTGTCCCACCTGGAGCGTGTGCTGTGGGTGACAGAGCCACAGCAATGCCACTGACGATGCCACCGATGCCCATCACCGTCCCACTGAACCTCCCGCCGTCGCCTGCCGTACCTCTTGTGCCAACGTAGCGGTGTTGAGGACGATGACCCGGTTTTGGCAGCCGCACCAGAGCTTCCCTGCCACTGCCCCCACCCTGGTGATGGGGCTCCCCGGTGAGCCCAAGGAGAGGGACTTGGAGTTTTGGGGATCCCAGAAGCGGCCTGTGAGGGTGGTGAGATTGAGGTGAGTAGGTAAAGCATCCCCAAAACAACTCCATCTTGACCTGGCCAATGGGATGTAGTGGCTGAAGATGCCCATCTCCAGGTTCTCCATTAGAGGGGACAGGAGGTGATGTCCCGAGGGGATGCCAACGAGGAGCAGGATACACGTCTCCATCTGGTTCTGGTTTTGGGGTCTTCAGCATCGCTTGAGAGATGTCCTTTCCCTTCCAGTGGAGGCAGGGAAGACACCAGTACCCCGAGCATCCCTCCCTGAGGGGCTGGACAAGCGCCCACCCAACAGATGCCACTTTGGGGCTGTGTTTAACCCCCCCAGTACCCTTTGATGGCCCCGATCCGGCCTCACCTGCCTCCCGCTGGTACGCAACGAGCTCCCCGTTGGCCAGTGACACGAAAACCTGGTTATCCAGGTACCTGTGGGGAGAAAAACCCTTGGACAACCAGTCACAGAGCCCCACTCAGCCACCCCAAACCATCTCACTGTGGACAACCCCGGAGGTGAAAATCTTCTTCCCCGCTTACAAAATGCACATGACGGCAGCGGCATGTTGCATCTTCATGCTGTTCTTCCTGTTACGGATGTTGTCCGAGGACTGGTACACGTGGATGCTGCAGGAGAAGAGCAAAGCTTGAGGCTCACCCAGGATTGGGGTCCACCCCACGTGTGTGTATCCCCCATCTGGGGACGTACCAGCCATCTTCGGTGCCCAACCACATGGAGCTCTGATGGGCTTCAGGGTCAAGGCTGAGGAGGTCCTCGAGGCTGCCCCGGGTGAAGGAGCCGCGGCTGGAGCGGCGCAGGGCTCGCCCGTCTGTGGGGCTCTCGCCGTGCCGGTTTTGGCCGTAGGTACCAGAGATGGGCATGAAGCCGGGTTCTTGCTCTTCTTCCGAGCTTGTTGTCTCCGCTGTTGCCTCCTTGCAGCTTGGGATCTCTTCATCTGTGGAGGAGGAGGAAGGAATGGGTCAGCCCAGGACCACCCAACACCCACCGAAGTGATGGGGAGGAGAGCATGGGTCCCCTTGCGATGTCAAGCCCTGGGGAGGATGTAGGGATGCTGAGCCCCAAACCCACCAGGTTTTACCCAAAGCCACCAGCCCCATCTCAGCATGACAGGGATGGGCTGACACCCACCAACATCTCTTTTCCTGAGATTTCCTTGGCTCAAAAGCCTCCAGCTGTGGAATTCCCTGAGGAACACAAGGTGGAGTGGCCAAAATGATGGACTTGCCCATCACTTTAGTAGGGCCTGTAGTGGCAGGACAAGGGGTAACAGGTTTAAATGGAAAGAGGAAGATGGAGATCGGACCTCAGGAAGAAATTTTTCCCGGAGGGGATGGGGAGGCACTGGGACAGGTTGCCCAGGGAAGCTGTGGATGCCCCATCCCTGGAAGTGTCCAAGGCCAGGCTGGATGAGGCTTGGAGCAACCTGGTCTAGTGGAAGGTGTCCCTGCCCATGGCAAGGGGTGGGACTGGGGTAGGGGAATTTAAGGTCCCTACCCACCCAAACCATTCCATGATTCTATGATTTTGGGACAAATAAGTGGTTTTTTGCCAAGCAGAGACTCACTGCCGAAGCTGGAGGAGATGGTGGGTGGAGTGGCTGGCGTGGCTCTGCAGTGTCCCCGAGGGACTGGGTGAAGATTCGTCATCCGTGTCATCGCTATCGAAGGGCACCAGCTCCCTGTTGCCACCATCAACCGGCTCTGAGAGCTCCAGCGACGAACCCGAGATGGAGATGTGCAGGCACGGCTGCGGCCCTGCATCCTCCGGCTGCACCGGCATCGCCTCCGAGGAGGGGCTGCCCACCGGCTCGGCCGACGAGGGGAGGGGGGAAAGAAGCAGCTCCAGCATCGCCCTGTGCCCGCCGGCTCCGCGGTGCCGGTGGGAATGTCCTACCTATACGCCCGCTTGAGCCCGGGCACGGAGGCGATGCAGAGGATCCTGGCGGAGCAGACGGCGATGCACGCCTCCACCGTGGGCTCCTTACGGATGCCGAGCAAACAAACCTGCCCCACGTAACCATCGCTGTTGCAAACCCAAACCTCGTGGGAGCTTTCCAGGCTGCCGTGGCTGGGAGAAGCACAAGAAAACTGCAAGGGAGCAAAAGATGGGATGAGTTGGGTCATTTGGGAATGATGCAGGAGCTCTCGGCATCTGGCAGCAAGCCCGCCGGGATGGAGAGGACCATGGGTCCTGTGGGATGCTTGAACTCAACCACCCAATACCTGCATCCCACTCCGTGTCTTCATGATGGGGATGGCCTTGAGGAACTCTGGGTCCAGGCAGTTTTTGCTGGAAGCTGGGGAAAATCAAATTGGAAGATGAAGAAGTGATGGAGGAAAGGGGTCTACCAAAGCCGAGACCACCACCGCATCCACCTCCCCAGTCCCTGGTGTTACCCAGCTTCTTCTTGGCATCCTCAAAGGCCTGCTCAAAGCCCAGCCGGGCGTCGGGGTTGGGGAATTCAAAGATGAAGGACTCAGTGCCGTCGGCTTTGGTGGTGCTGAGCTCCACCTTGTTGGGAGGGAAAGCCATGCTGAAGGACAGGGATTGCTTCTCTGCCAGCTCCCGGTGGATGGCGGCCATCAGGTCCTTGATCACGTCATCCAGGCTCTGGGGATGGGGACAACGCTTCAGCTCTCTGGGACATGCCACTGCTAGCCATGTGTGGATGATGGCCCCATCCATCCCCAAGCATCCTCAGAGGCTGTCCCAACCTCGTTGTGGTGTTGGGACTGGTGGCATCTGGGCCCTTAGAGGACACTCATGGCTACCAGACCTTCCATTAAGTTCTCCCTCCCACCATGGATATCCCAGTGGGTCCCACAGGGAAGGTGTCCATCCAAGGACAGCACTAGGGCCACCAAGTGATGCTGACCCCGTCCATCATCAAGCATCCTTCAGAGGCTGCCCCCAACCCTCCTCTAGTTTTGAGGCTGGTGGCATCTGGGCCCTTTGAGGACATTCATGCCCACCAGCCCTTCCATGGGTTCTCCCTCCTGCTGAGGGCATGCCAGTTGGTCCTAGAGGGAAGGTGTCCGGCCAGGAGACAGGATCAGGGCCACTACATGATGCTCTCCCTATCCATCCCCAAGCATCCTTTGGAGGTTGCCCCAACCCCACTGTAGCTTTGAGGCTGGTGGCATCTGGGCCCTTTGAGGACACTCATGGTCACCAGCCTTTCTGCAGGTTCTCCCTCCCACTGAGGACATCCCAGTTGGTCCCATGGGGAATGTTTCCAGCCAGGGGACAGCACCAGGGCCACCATCCCCATACCTGGTGGGGGAAGCTGAGGGTCTCCGACAGCTTGCTGACTTGCCCCAATGTGCTGAGGTCTTCATCCAGGCGGCAGATGCTTTTCTGGATGCTCTCCCGGTTGGTGGCTTGTGAGGCACCTGTGTGGGGACATGTGTATGGCATTAACTCCTTCCTCCCTGGAGCCGTTCAGGGGGGACCTTCTCCCTGAGGTGAGCAATGGCTTTTGGAGTGGGGTGGAACACTCCAGCAGACAGACCTTTGACGATGTCCACATCCTCCAGCGGCAGTTTCCAGAGCAGTTTGTACTTGCTGGCAGTGTCGATCACGCTGGCCGCAGTGTACCTGTGAGTTTTGGGGGGGTATGGCTGAGCTGCACCCATGTCCCCAGCACCCTAAAACCAGTCCAGCCAGTGGGATTAATCCCAATGGGTGCCCCCCAGCCTGGTGGTACTCACAGGCTCATGGAGCTGCGGCGGAGGGAGCCCGACTTGCGTTTCAACGTGGTGCACACCAGCAGGTCCGTGAAGAGGAAGAAGGAGCGGTCCTTCTTCCCACCTACTGCCTTCTGCGGAGCGGTGGGAGACACCAAGGGGTTAACATTCAGCCCCCCCACCGCTGCCAGCGCTGGGAGCGGTTCCTGCCTCAGTTTCCCCATGTGCAGCCTTGGCACAGGGAGGCTGCGGGGTGGGATGGGTCCTCACGAGAATAGAAGGGGACATGGGTGCCATGGCTGTGCAGGTAAAGCCACAGGGTCCCACTCACAGGAAAGTCAAATTCCAGGGCCATGGGAACACCAAGCATGGGTTCACCGGGACCCCTGAGGTCTCCACCTCCTGCCTCCCTGTCCAGCCCTGGCCCCGGGCTGCTATGGGCTCTTCTGGTTTCCTGTCTGTTCCCAAACCAATCTTATCCAACACATTTGGAGAATTTTATATTGTCCCCTTCCATCCGTCATCCCTCCATGTGTCATCCCTCCGTCCCTCCCTCCCTCTATCCATCCAGCCTTTCTTCCATTCATCTTCTATTCATCCTTCCATCTGTATATCCTTCCAACCATCAGTCCATCCTTCCACCCAACCTTCCCACATCCATCCATATGTCCGCCCATCCATCTGCCCATCCATCCATCCGCCCATCCATCCATCCGCCCATCCATCCATCCGCCCATCCATCCATCCGCCCATCCATCCATCCGCCCATCCATCCATCCGCCCATCCATCCATCCGCCCATCCATCCATCCGCCCATCCATCCATCCGCCCATCCATCCATCCGCCCATCCATCCATCCGCCCATCCATCCATCCGCCCATCCATCCATCCGCCCATCCATCCATCCGCCCATCCATCCATCCGCCCATCCATCCATCCGCCCATCCATCCATCCATCGCCTCCCACGCGCACACAGACACCCCACAACCCGCTATCGCAGCCTTCCACTGCTCTGTCTGCTGTACGGTGGCACAGTCATGCCGGGGACAAGGGACAACCTCTTACCACTTCCACCACCATCTCCTGGCGCAGGAACCTGCGGAGTGGGGCCTGGAGCTGTCGGGACAAGGAGGCTTGTGAGCAGGGAGCCCTGAGGGGGGACCCGCACAGGCTTTGTTCACCCCACCAGCTCAGGTCTGGCACACCCGACCCCTTCCCAACCCCCCAGGAGCCCACCAAGGCCAAGCAATGATGGGGAAAGCAGGATTGGGAGGAGAGAACAAGCGGCCCAGCCTGATGTGATCAAGACAGAGCAAAAGTGGTTGAGTTTTGGGGAGGAGGAAAGACCAACCCCGTGTAAGACCACCATACGTACATCATCCATCCCTTCGATGTGGGACTCGATCTCCTGCACGATCCGGGCGTTCCTCTCCACCTCCTCCGCGCTCTTCATGCCCTTGTTGATCCTCTCCGCCACTTGCTTGATGTTGCGCTGGGCATCGATGAGGAAGGGGTGATCGGGGTGGTCCTCTGGCGTGTGCTTCAGCAGGTCCTACCGCGGGGACACAGCAGGGACATCACCACGGGCAAAGCCTGGGCATTGGCGATGCCGTGACACCCCCGAGCCAAAGTCCCTGCTGCGCTGCTCTGGCTGCTGGGATTGGAAACCAGCCCCACGCAGGAAAGGTTTTGTGAAGAAATGAAGCCTCAAGCTTGGGTCACCACCAGCCGGGTCTCTGCCACCTCAAAAGAGGCCACCAGCTCCTGAGGGCACACGTGACCTTGCACGGACACCCAAAATTCATCCCTGGCTGTCTTCAAGGCCCGGCTGGATGGAGCATGACGCAACCCAGGA